ACAAGATCAGAAAGCTGGCAAGACTTTAAACCAAAGTGTTAAAAGTGGCTTGGTGGATTTGTGTATTACCATATATAATTAGTTAGCTGTCTAGATGGATGGAGGGAGGGAAGGGAGGAAGCAGAGACTTTTTTAACAGTTTGGAAAATCTGTAATTGCTGATAGGGAAAGACACCTAAGAAATATAATTGAATGAAAGAACTATGTGCACAAAAGTGGACTCTTCTTTTCTTTTTTCCTTCTCTACCCCTGACAACCCCCTCCTTCCTTTCAGCTTTAGGCAGAGATACTGATGAGTTGATCAATCACTAGATAGCTTATGTACATGAGGAGGACTTCTGGATAGATTCACCAGAAACTGTACTGCTGACAATCTCTGGGGAGTGGGAATTGGCCAAGTGGGGGATGGGGTTTTCCTTTTCAGTCTGTACTCTAGAGCTATATGAATTTTTCTCTTTTGTAATAAAAACAAAGAAAACAACAGTGGCTGAGGGCTGGGACAGGAAGGGAGGCCCCTTAGAGGGGTCATCCTGAGTTCAAAGCTGGATATGAAGGCACGGTTAGAGCCAGGGGAGGAGGGGCCAGGCCCAAGTGAACAAAGCGGCCTCTTCCAGGGAAATCCCGACCTGGTGTCCATTGTGGAATGACAAATGGCCCTTCCACCACCATCATACTGAGCCAGGCTCACAGCTATGATTCTGCCTGAGGCTCAGTCTTTTCCCACAAGAGCTGCTCACTCTGGGGGGAGCTGGGAACAAAGAACCAAATGATTCTGAGGGACTTTCTTGCCCAGGAAAGGGAAACATTATTTGTGGGTGAAGACCACCTTCCTGCCTCACAAACCCCCACCGTGACAAAGTCCCATGTGCCATATTTGACAAATGGTACTGGCTTTCCCTGGGCCTGACACTGAGTTTTAACGGACAAAGGCTGCAAGAGGCAGCGAAGAAGAGCCTGGTGCCTGTTGGAGCAAGCCTAGGCTTTATCTATGTTGACCAAAGACATGGCTATCACTGCTCCTGGGTCCTGTGGAGTCTGACAGACGAGCCTGGAAATGCAAGCTGAGGGATCCAGGGCCACACAGCTCTGAGTCCCCCTGCACCCTTCCACTGGTGAAAGTCCACACAGATGGTTTTTTAGGTTTCTGGGCATGGACCATAACATTTGCAGTGGTCAGATGAGGGACAAAATTGGCCAGTAGCCCAGCATCCTCTATGCCTAATTTTGTAGTTTTTTCCCCTTTTCGTACAGGTCCACGCACATGCTTCTTTACTCCAGAGAAGTGATTCTCAAGGATTAGTTACATGCACACCACCCCCTCTTATCCCAGAATTTGTGATACAGGAGGCCAGAGCTATGGGCTTAGAACTTATGCTTGTAAGAGGTTCCCTATGCTGCTGCTGCCTTCACACTGTTACCCAATGCTCCAAAGGAACACACAGAGCAAACATTGACAAACGGCACTTGATCCTTGGCTTCAGATAACCAGGTGGGTGAGGACTGTGATAGGCTGGAGAATGTCCACCTGCACCACGGGGAGCAATTAGGACAGAGTCCCAGGGGTCCATACAGCATAAGAACAGATGGGTGTGTGTTTTTAGTTCTTTTGATTTCTTTCTTTTGGAGGAGGGAGTTTAAGGACAGCCAGAAATACGGATTTTTCTATGAAATCTTATCTTCGGCCATCATTGGCAACTGCCTCTTAAAAGTTTTTAAAACATTGTGCAAGCCCAACAAAATACATATGCAGGCCAGAGTCTACCCTCTGGCTGCTGCACTAGAATACAGATAAGATTCACATGGAAAACAGACAGGATCAGAGATCTCTGAGCCCAAGGGCCTCTGGGTCCTTTTTGAGGTGGGGATGGGCCAGGGGATGTCAGCCTGGCCACACCTCACTAGCAGAGACCCCAACCCTTCCTCCCACCCATGATGGTCACACCGAGGCCCCCATCTGGTCCTCATTGCTCCCCCCACCCCATATTTTGCACTCCAGCCACACTCAAGTCTCTTTGAGTGTACTTCTGAATCCCCTTTCGACCAGGCCTTTTCTGATCTCTGGGCTTCAGTGTGCATGGTTTGCTCTGAAATGCTTTTATTCCCTTTTCCAATCTGCCCTAATTCTCACTTGTCCTTCGAGGGCCTACTCGGCTGTCACCTCCTTGGGACCTTCCCTTACCACTGCTTACAGCTCTGTGCATTTGAAGCCCCTTCCTGCTCCCATCATGCACTAGGTGGCAAAGGCCCTAAGATGTTTCCATTTCCTCCACTGACCTGGGCATCCAGAAGGCCTTGTGTCTAGGCTGAGCTCAGGGCCCGGTAAGGTACATGAATGGAATAACATTTACCAGACACAGTTTTCTTGGCCTTGGTCTTCCTCTCTTCTTCTTTCTGTTTGCCTGCCTGCTTCCTGTTTTCCTCCAAGCCTCAGCTCAGACTTACTCCCTGTGGGAGCCCTCCCTGACCTCCCAGACCAAGGCAGGCTGCTTCTTTGCCTGGTCCTGCTACAGTGTGACTGCTTCCCCCAACTACCCCTATATCACTCCATGAGGGCACAAGTATCTCACTGACACAGGGGCTGCAAAGACAGAGGAAGCATTATAAAATGGTTGTAGGACCCAAAGGAGAGGAAATGAACAAAACGATGGGTAAATGTTCCAAGGTGAGGATGTAAGGCCTGTAACACACTGTGAACAGTCCTGACTGCTGTTTCTGGCTGGTAGGTTCTGAGCATGGAGGGCAGAAGGCAAAGTGCCCAAAGCAATCTCTGACGACCATTTCTCTCAGGACATGTGGAGGTCCCCAGAAACCTCAGCCAAGGTGGCCTCTTGGCACCCAGGTCTCCTCCTGTGCAAACTCCATGATTCTATCTCATACCCACCCCCAGCCATGCTCCTCAGGGGGTCCCAAGCCATATGCTATCCAGCAGGAAGCCCAGAGAGAAGGGCTTCTCTGCACTGCAAGGGTCAAGGGAAGGTGAGGCAGAGAAGGGCTGGGCTTTCCCACCTCTCAGCAGGCAGCAGTACGATGAGTGAGTGGCCATCTTCTTGGGAGTGGGCCTCCCTGAATCCTGGAGCAGCGAACGGTACCAAGAGACTCAGACTAGTTTCATTGAGTTTGTCCCAGGCTATTTCTTGTCCCAGGGTACTTTGCTCACCTATCATGCTAAGTTCAGAAACCAAGGTGGACATTAATCCTTCATTTGTGTACAGAGTCCTCTCCTTTATTTCCTTTTTGCTTGCCAGTTAAGTGCAGAAGTGACCTCTTTCAGAAATCTGCAATCCCCTCTTCTGGGTGGTCATAATCTCTCCAACCCTGACCCCATGCCTTCCTTTGTCACCACTGAGCACACCATTGTCACTGTGTGTCTGTCTCCACCACAAAGACTGCAGTATGCACAGTGGCTAGCTCAGATCCTCTGCCACTCAGGGAGCCTCCCCAAGGTCACACAGTGAAAAATCCTCTCTATGAAGCAGGATTGGAAAGTGTGCTGTGAATAGTAAGTAAATTAATGCGAAATCTGAACAGCAACAGCATCTGGCACATGGAAAGCACTTGACGAATATTCGCTAGTATTAGGAGGTGGTCACAAATGTTTCTGGGGTTACTGGATGAAGGAAGGAACAAAAGAGTGAAAGTAATTGGCAGAGTACAAGTTGGTACAGTCAGAGTTGCAGTGACCCTAAACAGACATTTGATGTGTTCTGATAGCACCCAAAGGTGAGCTGGGAATGAGGATCATCCTCCTGGGGCAGAGTCCCTTGTAGTGGACAGAGAGCAGGTCAGGCAGGGAAGGGAAAGGCAGAGCCTGTCTGAAGGCTTCCTCTCCCACTGATTAAGAGGCCTTGAGACTTTGAAAGGCACAATGCAACACACCATTTCCCTCCAGGGTTTTTCTCATCTGTGGTTGCTCCAAGGACATTCCTTGCTGACTCCTTCCCCTTCCCATCATTCCAAACAGTACTCAGATAGTAGTCCTGACTGCCTTTCCGGTGAATAAACAAGGTGGGGGAGGAGTTGTCCAGGTCAAGGCTCTTTATTCTCAGACAGGGCACAGCTCTCTCCTTTCTGCAAAGTCAGGAGCCTTAGGAGAGCACTCTTGCAAGTCTCTTCCCTTCTCTGAGCCTCAGTCACCAAATAGCAGGAGTTCTAATCCCTCCCTCAGTAGGCTGTGGTGTATAATGACTGGCACAAGGCAGGGTGAGCAGCAGACCCACCATAAAGACCCTTGGCAAATGGTAGGAGGGCTGGGTGGTAAGTAAGGCAGCTTCTAGGCTGAAGACAAATCAGCTCTGGACCGAAGACTGCGACAGGGAGACCGAGAGTACCCTGACCTCTCAGCACTCCAGGATGTTGATGGAAGCCTGGGGTTGACCTTCTGGAGTCTGCAGTGGTAGCGCTAATTGGGGTCTCCTGGTCACCAGTTTCCCACCCTTGGGGAATGAGTGGCTCAGCCCCCCCCTCCCATTCCCCCAGCTGCTTCCTCTGCCTGGGCAGTGGGGACACTGACCTCCCAAGTAAGGGCTGGTCAAAAGGTTCACAGGAAGTGGCCAGAGGGCCACAGCAGAGACCAAGCTGGCCCTGTTCACTAAAGCTTACACTTCAGAGTGGTTTCCTGTATTTCTTCTTTCTCTCTTCCCCTCTATCGAAAGCCAGAAGAGAACAGAGCCCACTTGCTTGTCTGGAATTCCAGCCTACCCCTCCTCCACTGCACTACTCTAGACCTGTCAGTGTCCTCTCTCTGAGACTGTTTCTTCATCTGTAAAATGGGCAAACTCCCATCTGTCTCAAAGGCTGCATACAGTGGAGACTCAGCAAACTGCACCCTGCATGAGGGTCCTATCTGGTCTGCTCCCTGACTGCTGCTGGCTACCCTGGGACTCGGAGTGGGAAGTGGAATCCCTCAGGACACAGGGGCCCTGGCTCCACTTCCCACCAGCCCAGCCCTCAGTTGGTCAGATTCCCCGGGGCAGGAGACATTCACAGCCACAAATCCTCACCATGCACTTGCGGTCATCTATGCCAGTCAGATCCTCCTCAAACTCTTTCCCAACCTCGAAGTCCATGATGTAGTTCCTAAAAGTGCTCAGCGTGCGGATGATCATATGGTCGCCGTCCTGCTCTATCTCTTTGTCTGGCTTCAGTAAGTTGGCGATTTTGCGCAAGGCCACATTGACATCTACAAGGTGCAAGAAGACAGGAAAACTGAGAGAACCTTTCTCAAAGGATCGGGGTCCCTGAGGCAGAGTGGTCGCGCCCAGAAACACAGTTGGGATTTTCCGCTTGCTTTGAGCTGTCTCTGGGCCCAGCCTATCTGTGCCTTATTTATTTTTTCTTTTGGCAGCAAAGTTTTCTGCCCTCACGCTAACCCCTTAAGAACAAAACCTAGCAACCCAAACCCAGCTTTGCTAATTACATTATCCACATTCAGCGCCAACTAGCAGACACTTGCCACCAATTAAGCCTAACAACCCGGATCCAAGTCGAAGCCCGCTGGTTACCCTCTCTGGCGCGGGGGTACCCAGGTCGCCGCTCATAGGGTGTGTGTGTGGGAGGCGGCTCACGAGGACCTTGGGGAGGACTCCGGGGAGGGCCCGGGCGACCCCCGGAGAGTGGCGGGCAGCGCTTACCCAGCGCGCGCAGGTACTCCTCGAAATTCTCGTTGCTCTGCATCTTCCAGTACCCGGTGAAATCCACTGGCATTTCGGGAAGCGACTGGGGACTGGCGGCCACGCAGAGGGCAGGAGCGGCTCCAAGCTCGGCGCAGGTAACTGCTGCCGACGTGATCTCTATCGCAGTGGTGGGCGGCCCGGAAATGCTCGCCCTCGGGGGACAGGGGGCTCTGTGGGGCTGCGACAGTTGGATACCAAGCGCACAAAGCCCGAAGGAGGATCCATTGTGGCCGTCGCTCCTCCCCGCTTGGGGGGCGGGGGCGGGGGTGGAGGGCTTGTTTGGCCCTAGCCTACGGCCACTTTCGCTTCAGACCTGCAGTTCACTTCCCGAGAAAGGAAGAGGAGACGGCGGGAGGTGAAAGGTGACTTTATTGACCCCAATTCTTGGGTTCCTGAGCGATTCCTTCAAAGGCCGTGAACTTCTCACATTGGGAGGCCACTTGAGGACTGGAAATCTGCCCCCTCCGGTCTGCTGGGCTGATAGGGAAAGAGGCCACTTTTCAGGCCTTTGTCTAAAGCTCGCCTCGCGGGGCGGGCAGTGCTCCAGAGGAGGCCAGGCTGGAGAAAGCTGGGCGGTTCGACTTGGGGGAGAACTGAGGGGCACTGGCCACATCTTTCTGGGGAAAGTGAAAGCAAAGTTGATATTATTTGAAGACAGCTATAAAAAGCCCTCCAGGAGATTCTGATGCAGGATCAAGTTTGAGACCCACTGTCCTATGCTAGTACAAGCAGTTAACAGTTATTTCTTACTTTTATCTCCCGCTCACTTCCTGGCAGTGCAGTTCTCAGTGTTCTGCATCTTGCTTTGTTCACTTAATGTAGTCTGGGGTCCTTCCCATTTCTGCACATGGAAAGCATTCCCACTGTTTTGATGGCAAACCATTGTTTATCCAGCCTGGACCCTGTTCTGCTGCTTCTGAGCCTTCACTATTGGAACCAGTACTGCCACAAATGTCTTTGATCCTGTCTCATTGGTCACCTGTATAGGTCTATCATAGTGCTTTAAAACAGTTCTCTGCCTCCAAGGAGATGACATAATTACAGCGGTTGACTTTTTGACCCTCTATTAAAGACTAAATATCTCTTTTAAAATTGCTTTTAGCACAAATCACAGCCTAGGTGACACCAGGAACATTTTCTTCCCTTCTAGCAGCACTACCATGCCTTCTCCAGCCCCAGGGCTCTAGTTAGTCCCTGCAGCTCATTTGGCTGACTTAGGAAGACTCCCCTTCCTCAGGGAGGAGGCAGCTTCCTCCCAGGGAGTGATTCAGGATCTCAGCTTCTCTCACCTCCCTTGCCCCACACCAGGGATTCTGAACCTTAGCATTATTGGTGTTTGGGACCAGTCACCTCTTTATTATGGGCACAGGGCTGGGGCTGTTTTATGTCTTGTGGGATGCTTAGCAGCATCTTTGCTTCTATCCATTAGGTCTCAGTGGCATCCAGAGATGCCTCCAGACATTCCTGAGTTAGGGCCCTGGTGGGAGGGCAAAACTGCCCTGACTGAATGCTACAGCTGTACCCCTGTCAGGCCTCTGTCATCCTCTTGTCCTTCCTTGGGCTCTGAGGTGCTCAGGACACTGGCTCTGTGCTCCTCCCTAGCTAGCCCAGACCTCTTCTTAGATGAGTAGCCAAGGCAGCCTATCCAGGCCCTCCCCAGACCAAAGGTGCAAGAAGACACATGTGTGGTTCATTTGGGGGCACAGTGGGGCCTGGTCTGGCCTGAATTGTCTAAAACTTATAAACAGGGCTAGCTACTGCCTTGCTTTTCCATGTTATCCTGACTTGTGGGTATGGAAGATCAGGCAAAGGCTTAAACAGTGAACTAGCCATTGCTTGGCTGCCCCTAACTAGACAAGTCTTCTTTCTTCTCTGTGGCACCATCCAGCTGAGCCATCTGGATTTCTCACCTGTCCAGCCTTCTCCCTTTGCTGAGTCTTGAGATGGTTTGTGCCCAAGCCAGTATAGTTTCTGGTAAGGGCCAAGTCAGTTCTGGTCCCCTGATGTCCCTGGAGTGGCCCCTCATGTTCTGGCCAGAGGCCTGCTCCTTTCCCCACCTCTCCAGGCCTCCTCTGTCCACCCAAAGAACCAAGATCTGGCCATTACTGTGGACATTCCTGATCTTCTGACCTGTGTCTTCTGAGCTGGCTGCCTGAGCTCATAGCACTGAATTCCATTGCCTTTACTTAGTATCTCCCTGTGCCTTTGTCTACATTCCTAAAGAGGTTAATGTATACCTTCCTGTTTTAGTTACTGCCTCATTGCTGGGACAAAATACCCAATACCCACAAGTTAAAGAGGAAAGATTTATTTTAGTTCAGTTTGTTGAGGTTTCAGTCCATAATCAGCTGGCTTTAAGGCAGGGTGGCATGGCAGAGGAGAAACAGTTCATGGCATGGAAAGCAAGAAATAGCAGGCTTCCTTCTGCTTTTCCTTTTTATTCCATCCAGGCTACAAGCCTATTGGTTGGTGCCACTCCCACCCAGAGTGGGTCTTCCATCTGCATTCAGTAAATCCATTCAGCCACACCCAGAACTATGTTAAACCATTCAGTACCACACACCCATGATCCAGTATCACACACTCATTATCCAGTCATTCCCCAAAAGTCATTCCCCAAAGCCCCACCTATGAGTTCATGAGGCTGTAGGGGGACATCTAGATAGAAGCAGTAACACTGACCTTCTGGATCTCCTGTCAGGAGGGCTCTCCGAGGCATGGGCCCTTGCTGGCTGTATCTTTTACAGCCAGGAGTAGGTTGCATGTATTGGCTTTGGAGGCAGACAGATGATGCCTGTGTCAGTCTTGATGAGTGATCTTGGGTGAGTTACTTAGCCTCTTTGTGTTACTGTCAATAATGGGCCTGGAGATGGATTCCCAGATTCTTGTGTGTGACAAAGAATTGTATATAGCACACAACAGCAAGGAAACAGTGGTGAAAGTACACTTGGAGTAAGTGCCTGCAAAAGGAAAATGGTGCTAGCTCTGAGGGTGTAGAGTATAGGGGTTTAAATGTCCCACCTGCTTTATGGTACCTCCCATGGGGGTGGGGGGCTCTTGAGCATGATTGACACCATGATTGGCAGGGTGCTGAGTATTGCCTGCTGTATCTATTGCACATGTCCTTTTCCATAATTTGCTCTGTTATAATTTTTTTTGTGTAAGATGCAGTCTATATGCACAAACTTTCAATGAACACCAGGGGAAGAAAGGCTACTCTAGGTCACACAGGAATGTCTAGTGTCTCTGAGCCTTGGTTTGGAATTTTCAGAATTTTCCTGGGTGGGCTAGGATCTTTGTTTTTCATATCTCTACCACCCTGTGGTAATCCCCCAGGGGCACTGTCCAGGTTCAGGTGAGGGGAGGGGAGAGGTTTGTAGCCCCAAGTGGTGCTGTCTATATTATTTGTTACTCAGTTTCCACGTCTGTAAAATGGAGACTCTAAGTACTTTCCTCTCAGGGTGGTGAGGCATAATGGTGATAAAAACGCTGCAGACCCATCGATGTCTGAGCCAGAGAAGGCTTAGAAGTGAGGGAGAAGACAGGCAGCCAAGAGAAGGATGCTGCTTATCTATACCCCTGCTGGGGCCTTAGGATCAGTCCAGGAGGAGTGAGCATGCTCTGTGGAAGCATGGGCATCACGGCGGTTCCTTCCTCTGCCAACTCCCTCCTGCTCACTCTAGTTCATTAACCAGAGAGCGCTTCCTGGAGCTGCTTTCTGTCTGTGGTGATATTACTTGGGATGTACAAAGCAAAGGAAGAGCAACAGAGGAGAGTATGTAGAGAAGAGAGAGGGTCTGTGTGGGCTGGCAATCCTTAGGGCTCCGGGGAGGAGGATCCAGCTGGTTCTTTAGGACTGCCAAGAGCAGATGGGTGAGGAAGAGGAGGAGACAGCACAGAAGGAGACAGGTGCGCAAAGGGATGCAGAGGGAAGGAAGGGGCAGCTTGTTAAAGAGAGAGGGTCAAGGCCTTACCACTGAGGACTAGGAAGAATTCACCTTTTCATTCCTTAGCTGATCAGTTAACTCCACAGGAATGTGAGAGCTCAGGAATGTGAAGCACTTTCAGGAAATGATTCCTACATCCCTCACTTGCTGGCCTTGGGAGCTGAGCAGTCCTCTGCCCATGTCACTGGTAGGCCAAGCTCCTGGTGCAGGGTCCCCAGTTGCTGGGGCTGCAGAGCTTCCCAAGGGCCATGGGCTGGGAGCAAAGACCCTGAGACTCTGTCCTTAGAAAATTCTCCTCTCAGGAAGCTGGGGTGGGGGAGGGTGTCCCAGCCCCATCCTGCCCTCTTTGCCATATCCCACACCCCAGGACACTCACTCCCTGCAAGGGACAAGGGACGGTGGCCAGGTCCTTCTGCTTCACGCTTATGAAGAAGGCTGTCCTCCTGGATTGCACTGGCTCTGACATCGAGTCCCTGCTTCTCTTCTCCAAGGCTTAGCTTACTTTGAAGACATGTAAAATCTCTTTTCTGGTGCGTAGATCTGTCTCTGGGGTTACACTCCAGTCTCTTAGCTGTCCCCATGCCTTCTGTGAGGTTAATGGCTGAAAGGATGAGCAGGCCCCAGTGTGCTGCTTTCCTGTGTCCACTGTGTTGGGGAGGGAGAGAACTTGTCAAGAGTCCACAGAGGCTGAGGGGCACTGAGGTTTACTGAAGACTCTCTGTTTTGATGGGCTTATGAATATTCAAACATGCAAATGACACGCCATGTCTACAAATCCCAAATCTTAAACCCTGTTTTGGGGCTGGCTGGGGGATTTATTTCTGTGCAGAAAATGGTTCTGCAGAATGAGTCAGCTACCTTCTATCTGATTCCTCCATTCCACTACCTGATAATTGTTTCCATAGATTACGGCTTACACTGCACGGGAAGGGATTCTTTTTCTCTTTGTCTTTCCTTTTCTTACCTTCCCTCTCTTCACTTCTCCCCTCTCTTTCTTTCTTCTTTTATTTTCTTTCAGTATCTCTTTTTTCATCTTTTTTTCCTCCTCCTCCCCTTCCTTCTCTTTCTGTCACTTTCTCTCCTTTCTTAACTATAATACTATGGTAAAATTTAAACCTAAACAAAAAGAAAGAATAGAATGTTGAAGCATTATGGATTCATTCTCAATTTTCAACAGTTATCAACCCAGGGCCAACCTTGTTTCATCTATATCCCCTCCTACCCACTCCCTAACTTCCAAAATTATTTTGGGGCAAATATAAGACAACATATCATTTCAAGAAGTATCTCTAA